TCCCCAAACCTTCAGGGGTCTCTGTTAGCTCAATGCTAGCGAAACTACCATCCCCACTATGCTGATCAAAGCGCTCCAAGTCCGCAGGCCTTGGGGTGCCAATATGGTGCGTTACTACCTCGGATTGAACCTGAGACTCATTACGTGGCACACCCCTTGAAACCCATGGGCTATAAGCCTGTGCATCCAAAGCTAGCTGTGGCCCTACTGGTGCTCCTACAGAAAAGGCTGAAACTCCTGCACCCGCTGGAGGAGCTGGTGGAGGAAAATAGCCCATCATCGACATCATTGAGTTCCCAGTTGGGTCATTCACAGGCAATCCTCCAGGAACCCCAATGCGCATACCCTCAAGCTGAGCTCTAAGTAAACTAGACTCGCGACTAACAATAGAAGATTGCCTGGACCTACCTGACACACTACGGCGCTCTTCTAAATCACTCAATCTGTCTCCCATCACGGTGATAGCATGTGCCATCGATTCCAACAGTCCAGTCAACCTCTCATCTTGCTCATCACTTCTTGCACTTTCCCTACCCCTAGCTGCCGGTGTACTGGTTCCAGTCCTCACGGCAGGCACCAACTCTCTTGATGATGCCCTGTCACTGCCCGAACTTGCTGGTCTTGGAGGGATGCCCGAAGAGGTCGCAATCGCAGCCCTGACAGCTTCCCGTCTTTGAGAGCCTTCCTCTGAACGCTTCCGCCCTTGACCTACATTCTCAATCCGTGAGCCCGGTATCTCTTCTCCGCTACCAGCAGCTGGAGCATTGATTGAGTCCTGTCCTTCCGCACCGGGACCTTCTGATACAGCACCACTTCTTGCCACGACTTCTGAAGCTCTATCCGCTTGCTCTGTTGCACGCGCCGCTCCAGTTCTTGCTACACCTTCCGAGGCTCTATCCGCTTGCTCTGTTGCATGCGTCGCTTCGACAACCCGCTGTCCAGTCATTCCAGCACTCTCATAATTTGGCTCCAACACAGTTTCATCCACTCGCACCGGTAATGGTGCTGGATCCATCACTAGGTTTGGAATCAAAGGAGCAGGATTTGTAGAAGATGTTGCTAGATCCGGAGGAGGTCTTCGTCTCATACTAGAGGACATTGATGATATGGTATCGCTCGCAACCCCAGGAGATCTACTTCTTCTCCCCATCATGTCCATGGCTCTCAACCTACAGCTCTCTCGGTTTACCTTGAAATGAAGTAACCTAAAGGCTCACTCGTCTATGATACCCTTAATTCTAAGCGAACTTTGGGCTCATAACCACTTGACAGAGTGGCCAGTTAGGGGAAATTATAAGAGCCTAAACCCCAGAAGAGCCTAAACCCTAAGACACAGCTGATCGCACGCTTTCTCACTCGAACAGATACTACTCTTGATCTTAAAAGGCCTTCATGGACAACACATGGGTCATCCTTGCACAGGGGCCATGCGGACGTCTTCTCTAGCACAGTTATATTGGGATATTGGAAAAGAAAATGGAAAAGGGTTAGGGTCTGGGGCCCTGGTCAGCGATCCTGGTGTTGATTCTTCCCTTGGTCCGGCATTGTCATATGGGTCTCTCATAAGGATGCTCAGGACCATTTGTGAGAAGCAACCAGTATGGTCCACGAGAACTCTGTTGTACAAAGCCTGCTTGGAAGGTCAAGGTAAGTACAGATATCCTAAGTACACTCGCACGCAAGCACACCTCTCGTATCGCTTTTGGTTGGGGTTCCCTAAGCCCTGATTGGAAGCTCTGCGTGAATGTCGTGCTCTAAGGCTCCCACTTTCTGAAGCTCCGCGCTTGGGGCCTTGTGTGACAGTGCCCAAAGTTACAGTACTGTATGGTTACTGTTAGTACTGTTACGACTATTATTGCTCCTATCTTTACTACCATTCCTTTTCTTCCGATGATTTTACCACATTTTCTACCGTTACTATTGTTATGAGCTACAATCATAATATAGGCAGCCAACACCCGATGACATGTGTGTTTTGTAATATGCCTACCTAGCTCCAAAGTAGTATAAACTACTATGCAATCCCCCTTTCCATTGCATTTTCCAGTGTCATTTCCAGATTTCATGCTCCATCAATACGGTAGTACCCCAATATATACTAAACCTTGAATAACAGTTTCTACTTGAGTTTCCATTTTCCAGTTGGTTCTCCGTTATTCAAGTAGTATCCGAAAACCCAACAACCGAAAATGATAGGGATAGGTTCCATATTGCTTTCCTTTGCTCCTACTACATAATGCCTATCCATGCCTATTCAAAACCCTATCTTGCTAGTCATGTAATCCTATATAAGCACCCTAAAACCTATACATGCCTATATACCCGTCCACCCGCACACAAGCCCTGTAGAGGCCTATGTAAACCTTTAGTAGACCCGTAACCCCCTAAATCCTAAACACCTATGAACCCTAAACCCCGAGCCCTAAACCCGTAAACCCTAAACCCTGAACTCTAAATCCTAATCCCTAACCCCTAAACTCGAAACCCTGACCCCTAAACCCTGATCTCAAAACCCTAATCCCTAAACCCTAAACTCAAAACCCTAATCCCTAAACAACCCTATCCCTAACCCCTAAACTCGAAACCCTGATCCCTAAACCCATCTCAAAACCCGAATCCCTAAACCCTAAACTCTAACCCCAAATCCCTAAACTCTAACCCCAAAGCCCTAAACTCTAACCCCTAATCCTTAAACCCTAAACCTTAAACCCTAAACTCTACACCCTAATCCCCCGTCCCTCAACCCTAAGCCCTAACCCCTGAAGAGCTCAGGCTGACCTCAGGCTCCAGTTGCAAAGCTCCCAGGAGCTTTTGCCCCAGCTTTCCGCCGAGTCCACGCCTCGGACTCAACTTACTTTTATAGGGATTTAAGGTTTTAGGGTTTAGGGTTTGGGATTTAGGATTTAGGGATTTAGGTTTAGGGTTTTTCGGGTTTAGGGTTGGGGTTTAGGATTGAGGGTTAAGGGTTTTGGGTCTATTGGGGTTACATTGGGGATATATAAAGATAATGGACAAGAAAATGGAAACTACTACATCATAATAAGGTATATATTAGGGTTATATTGAGGGTTAACGTCCCACATGTGCAAGCGGCAAGCGTATGCTAGGTGATCCATACTACTGAAAGTACTCGAATGTGAAGACTTGTGCTGATCAGCAAGAATGCGCTTCTTTTGCCAGCTACCTAGCTGGAAGCCTCAAGCAGTACCGCACCTGCTTTTCAGATGTGAGCCATGGTCTAAACTCCTAGTATCCCCCTTAATAATCCCCATAATAGTCGCCTATGTAATCCCCTATATAACGCCCTTTAAGGAGTTTAGACTATAGCTCATGTGAGCAGACCGCAAAAGCCACAGCAAGGGCTCTTTTTAGTCTTTTCAATAACTCCGAAAAAAAGGGGGTCGATGAGCAAAAGCCGCGGCTTGCCAGCACGATGGCCAAACTTTTCACATGCCACGCCTGTACAGCTGGCCTAGGCTCCATAAATCGGAGATATTGGCTGAGCCATGGGAACTCGAACCTTGTCTGCCTTGACCTGTACAAGCAAAATTCTACTGCCCCTTGTGGGGAGCTCTGTATGCCTATCGAATTACCGTATTTCACTGGCCTCGGTGGCACCTGTCGTGTCCAACTCGGAACGAAACGGGCTGATTTAGGGTTCTATAGGGATAATGGCGGAAAAGAAAATGGAAACTACTTTATTGTTGTAGGGGTTCTATAGGGCTAACGGAAAAGAAAAATCGAAACCACTATACTACTATTGGCAGTCTACAAGCACAATCCAAGGAATCTTCGTTGTCGGTCTTCTGCACTGTGCAGCTAGCATTCACCCTCTGCTTAAGATCCGGGCATCCCTCCATGTCTCATGAATTGGTGTATAGGAACCGCGCACAGAATTATTGAACTTAAGTAGTAAGCTTTTGATGGGCAAGATCCCGTAGCACACTTAGTATTCCGTATCTCCAGAGTTCCTAAAACCTAAACCCCTAAACCCTGAACCCAAGCCCTGAACCCTAAAACAGGTACATGATGTATCAACCCCAGACCATCTGCTTCGAAACCGCTTCGCGACCGCCAGAATCCCTTTGTCCTACGCAAGTATTTTGTAGGGTACCATAAAACCCTAAGCCATAAATCCTAAACCCTAGGGCCTCTCCTTCTGAGAATCCACCACAATCCGGGATCCTGCCTTGTGTGCCTATTTGCTTGAGGCCATCTCTCCAAGTCGCCTTCCGGCATTCGGGTTTGGGTCTGGGGTCTAGGGTTTAGGGTCTAGGGTGGTGAAGGGTTTAGGGTAGGAGAGTTTAGGGGTTTAGGGTGTAGAGTTTCAAGTGGTATTGGGTTAGGCCCCCAACCCATTCATAGTGACCACAAGCACAATTGTCATGATATCAGGGTCCCTACGTACTCCTAGTATACCACGATTAGTGGGTTCGGAGTAGTAGCCGTGGCAATCGTGACCGCAGTGGTGGCAACCAGACTTGACGGGATACACAGCAATAGGAGTAACCCCTTAAGGGTACCGTTTTTCCTAATGTTCAGCTTGAACAAGGAGACCCCAAAACAAAATTAGAAAAAGTGTATCAGTGGGGTCTCATGGCGATGAGCTTTGTACGACAAGAATGAACCAAGGGAAGCCTTGCTTTCTCTTTCTCTGCCAGGAGTGTGCCGATATAGTGACCCATGGCCTGAGGTAGGAGCATAGGTCAGGGATTCGGGACACCACTGCAACGCATATGAGCTATAGTCTAAACTCCTTGAGGGGGGGTTATATAGGGAACTATATAGGGGACTACTATAGGGGTCATTAAGGGGGATACTAGGAGTTTAGACAATGGCTCATATTGGTTTAGGGCTTAGGGTTCACTTGTTTGCTGCTAGGATGTGTTCCGACTGTTCTATCAATTCTTTCCTCCTGAAAGCACAAGCTATGTTGTTCATTGTTATCAATGTTTTGCAGAGCTATATCTGATGAAAAGCTGACCATCTGGGAGGCTGGCCATAATCGTACCCTGTGGGTTCACGCCTCAAATGATGCAACCACAGATGTTGCATGATGTTGCAATGGGCAGCGGACCGTCAAACACATGGGCAAGGGTCCCCAGCCTAGCGTCAAAATACTGCAATCCCTGTATCAACAGAACGGGAACCCTGATTTTCATAAACTCCACTATTGATAGTGCAGCCCCGCTGCGTGTCGGATTCGGAAAAATTGAGGCATCCACGACCTTGTTTGTTGCGCGATATGCATTTCTTGCTTTGCCAAGGCCTGACTGACTTCCGTGTTCTCTTATAGGCCAGGAACGTGCACATTGCTAGTTCCCTTCACGGTGAACTCGGCGCCACTGACTACATTCCCGAAGGAAGCAGTGCCAAAATAGTGGTAGGACGAGACCACAGCCTTGTGAAAGTATTCCTTAGTTGGTCCTATTGACCAGGAATCACAAAATCGCCCTTCAGTTAATGTTGTCAACCAGCTGCATAGCAAAACACAATGCTCCGGTTTTGCTCCGGGATGCGATATAGTCTTCCCTTGAAGTTGAAAATTGATCGTCGGGTAGGCATGGTACGATGATTGCTTTCGCGTCTGTCTGCGGGCCGTTCTTAATGCAGCTGAGGTAGACCTTGGTGTTGCCAATTATCTTATCTCGAAACTGACGTCTTCTCCTCCAATCTCCATTCTACTTCATCCACCTGGCCCCTGCAAAGTAGATTCACTCATGACTGGACTTGAGGCAACATCAGTCTACGCCTTAGACACTCAGTCCTGTCCGCTCATGCCGCAAAACAGAGGAAAGGACCCTTACAAGACCGTCGAATCCACACATCCTGCCTGTATCCTGAAGCATCTGAGCAGCAGGAACTATGGCATCAGCACCGCTGAAGGACTTTGCGTTCACCAGGTCCTTCAAGGCGTCGGAATAGATGATCTCCTCAACACGGTCGCAGGACATGCAGGCCATGTGACTTGTGATGGTAACATAACCTTAGCACTCAAGCAGGGAGGGGACATGCAATGTGAATAAAAGTAGCTGACGACAAACATTTTACTACTGCCAGAACCAGGCGTTGTACTAGGGCTTGTCACAGCCATACTGAACCGCAGTAGATGAACTCCTTCAGCGCTCTCATAGCCGTGAACTTCTGCTCCAAGTCACGGGGATCCTGACAGTAATGGTCAAATTCCCATAACTAAGCTAGTAAGAATATAGTAATAAGAGTAAAAGTTCTAGTAGTAGTAAGAACAAGAGTAATAGCAATAATAGTAGTAGTAGTAGTAGCAGTAGTAGTAGTAGCAGTAGTAGTAATAGTAGTAGTAGCAGTAGTAGTAGTAGTAGTAGTCATAATAGTAGTTGTTGTAAGAGAAACATTCCAACTAGGGGCTATGGGCGTGATGATGGTAACAACACGACATTGACATTCCGAGCTGAGTTTGAGGGCCGCTTGGCTGCTGCTTGCGCTGCTGCTGCTCCTGCTGCTACTACTACTACTACTACCACTACTACTACTACTACAACAACTACAACACCTCATACTATTACTAGTACTATTACTACATTTTTCTACTACTATCCCTATTAATTGCTACTGTTCCTGGTACTATGATTACTATCACTACTAGCTTCGAGCCGGGCCTTGAAGTGGTTTGCCGTCACTGTTGGAGCAGTTCTAGCATCAGCAGAGACTGCAGTTACGGAGCCGCGCGAATATGTTTTGTGATTCAGCGCCACAAACTGGATCCTGGGTGTAGGGTTTAGGGTTTAGGATTGCAGGAATGGGGAGACTTGAAGTATATTCTGCCTATTTCAGTCTGGTAACATGTTGTCCATGATCTTCCCAATGGGGCCCTCAAACAACGGGGTCATAGTCTTGCGCAAGAGATCTGTGCGTTGATCTGGGGCCACCAAGCCAACCGAGGCAATGGCGAAGGAGCTGGCGACTTTTCCCCAACCTGGCAGGGCTGTTGTGGACACGCAGTTTGGGGATCAGGGTCTAGGATTTATATGGTTCATGGTATAGGGTTAGCACTAGGGATTACGAGTAAGTCTAGGATTTAGGGTTCATGGTTTAGGGGCTAGGGCCTGCATAGCCTTTTCAATGACCCCAAGTAATTACTTACGCGACCTATCAGAACCAGTTGCAGTTTCCATAAGCAAAGGTCTTTGAATTCTAGGTCAATGTTTTGTTGGCTCGCAGCACGGCGATGTCTCGAAGCAAATGTCTCCTGTAGAGGCCCCACAGGAACCCCCAAGCCCTAAACTCTCTGACGCTCCAGGTCCCACAGGAACGAAACCTTAACCCCTATAACTACTGTATAACTCCAGTTTCCATCTCATTTTCCAGACCCTTTTCCATTTGATTCTCCATTACTGGCCTAACTGCTCAGCTCATTTGCAGGGTGCATACGGGCTATACAGGCCTTCATGAGATCCCTCTGGTAGTCAGCTCCAACAGTAGACGTGCCTGTCTACACCCTGAGCCCTGGCGACCATCCCAGACCCCTAACTCTTCAAGTGCCTCCAGTCTAGCATTCACGGAGGCCAGCTAAAAGATTCACTGCCCCGAAATCCAAAACCATAATGCCGAACACAACGCCCTGCCCCTGGACCCAAGAGCCACTGTTCTTGAAAGCACCATGTTCAGCTGTCTGGGGATAAGCTGTCCACTGGTCCCAATTAAGCCGAAATGCGGTCACAATTGTGCTGATGATGCTGTTGGGGGGGCGGGCGCGCACGCGCATGCGTGCGTGCGCGCGTGCGTGCGTGCGGGCGCCCCGTACAGAAGCATCATCAGCACGATTGGGACCCCGTTTTGGGTCGTTTTTCGGTTAAACTAGAGAATACAAGAACTTCCAAACCTACAAAACATCCCAGGTGGCAACCCTTACACCCTAAACCGTAAATGAGTACTAGTACGAACAACAATAGCAGTAATAAATAACAGTTATAATAGTAGTGCTAACAGTCCCAGGGCTGCAAAGAGGGAGCCCCGATTGTTGAAAACACCCGGCCATCGGTTTCGAAGGTGATCTGCCTGAGTGACATCCGACTGCTTCAAGCACTTCCAAGCCGATGCAAACACTGAAAGCAAGTGTATACAGTTCAGGGTTTATGTACTGGTAGAGGTATACTCCTATATTCTCTACTATTTGCCAACATATACCCTACTACATTGCAGTCATTTCCGGGCTCTCTTCCATTATCCCATATAACCCGAATCTATTCTGAATCCCTACTCCCTTTTTCCCAGCAGCAGCAGCAGCAGCAGAACAAGCCGAAACATCAGCAGTGACAACGACAACGACAACCACAACAACAACCTCGTACAAGTACCAAGAAGTACTTACTGGGGCTTAGTAGGGAGTAAGGGAATACACCTGCTATAATGGAGAATCAAACGGAAACGAAAATGGGAAATGAAATGGAAACAGGGTTTACAGGGGTAATATAGGGCTGGTTACTGGGGGTTGGGTAGAATTTGGGAATTTGTTATTTTGGGGTTATATACGGATTTTCTCCCTACTGGACCCCAGTAAGAAAAGTAGCACCAACGAACACAGAATATGCCAAGGAAGAAGTTCCTGTAGCAGAACTGCAGTGAAAACTGGAGTTTTAGTTTTTCATATGAGCTATAGTCTAAACTCCTGAAAGGGGGGTTATATACGGGATTTTATAGGGGCTATTAAGGGGATACTAGGAGTTTAGACTATAGCTCACGTGATATTGGCACCTAACACCAAACAGTAGCAATGCAGGATGGCTTTACGCAGCTTGCAGTTCGTTGTTGTCCACTTCAAAAGCATGTGGATGGTTGTCAAAATCATGGTCCCTTTTTGGATCCCTATCATAGTACGGCACCTAATATTCAGGGTACCCAAAAAGGGATCATAAGTTTGACATCCACCCATGTGCCACCCCTAAACCCTAAACCCTAATCCCTAAACCCCTACGCCCTACACCCTGGACAGGGTTATGCTAAGAATTCGCACCGATCTGCGAGGTGGTATTCGACGCCATGGCGTAGCCAACAAACAGAGGCTTGGACTCCGAAGACCAGACACCTCGGAAGGGTTTAGTGTTTAGGGTGTAGGGGTTAGGGTTTAGGGTGGATTCTCAAGGACTTCTCTGCCCACAGTTCCTTGCTAGGACGAATGAACTCTAGTGCCATCGACAAGTTCACTGGAAACCCAGCCAGGGAACCAAAATTCACCATGTTCCGATCCACAAAATTTTGGCCCACATCTGGGTTTGGTGCAACCTCCTGGACTCCCAAACTGCGCAGTAAAGCTGGATCTCCAATGCCTGATACTTGAAGAAGCTGGGGTGAGAAGACGGCGCCCGCAGCAAGTATGATGCCTTTGCGTGCTGTAATGGTTACCACTTCCTTGAAGTTGTTCTCCACCTGAACACTGGTGGCCCGTTCGCCCTCGAAGTTGATCTTCATGACCTGGGAGTTACTCAAAACCTATTAGAAGCCCTAGTAGGATCCCTGTCATCCCTATAAAAAGCCCTACATACCCCTAGTATCCTTATAAGGCACACCCCCCCCCAATTTTGAGAAGTTCTCACCTGATAACCTGTGTAGAATCTGAGATTCGTCATCTCGGAGCGCCTCAGGTCGCGCATTCCCAGCCAACCTACCAAGCCCTGGTTCTGCTGATGCTAAAAAACTGCATGACCTTATTATACTGTTGTACCATAATTCCCATGGTATAAGGTAATACTGAAGGTTATGCAGGATTTGAGTATCCACCATACCCGCTTTGTATTTTTTGGTTGCCATCTAGAATACAAATGTTGCTATGCTGAATTTGTTGGTTGTGCTCAGGTATCACCTTGAAAGCCACTAAATCCTAAACCCTAAGCGTTCTCCTCAACTTGCAGGAAGGGCGCATGTGAAGGAGGTCTGCTGCACCACGGCGAGACCATGTTGGCTGTGTCGTGTTAAAGGTGGAGTAAGCAACCTGACTTTCGGTATCCAGAATGTGAATGCACATGTATAAGTATATGTATATACATATATATACACATATTTGCGTGTAGAGTAGGCCGCGTGATTTTTGATACCCAAGCAACAAAGCATGAGTGTGAGAGGCCCCGTCACCTTTAGAATCAGAATGAAAAACAGCCATCCAATCATGCCTACTGTTAAGTCAAAGCACTCCCTACTACTTGTCCTCTTCAAACAAAGTGGTCACGTCTCAAAATCCCAGTCCCCATTTAGGGTCCGTACGCACCTCAGAAAACGACACTGCCCCTAAAAATCAGGAAGGCAGCCCACTCTTCTGAGAGCTTCCCCAAAGTGTCAACAGAATGAAACAGGCCAAGTCGCCCAAGAGCTATTGGACTTCATGCGAATGCTGGGCTTCGGATCATTGGAGCCAGACCCCACTTCGTGGAGTGCTTGGGCAAAACGCCGGCCATAGCTTGAGGGCTGCAGAGGCTCGGAGAGTTCTTCCGCCACCCAAGCGGAGCTTCGGTAAAATTTCGATGCGTTGAAATCCTGCTGCGGAATGATTGGATTCATTTGAGGCCCTGTGAACCCCCCAGCCAACCCAAGCTGTTGAAAAGTCGGGCGGACAGCTTTGATGCCAGCGGCTTTAAGCGCCATGACTTTAGCTATCAGCTCACATTTAATCTTGTCAGGATTCCGCTCGGATGATCGCTTTCTTTCGGGAAACGCAAATAAACCCGCCGATGTCAAGACAAATGACTCTGTCCACTGATCCAATATATAGCAAGAAGCGCTTCTTCATCATGTTTAAAATGCACCTCCTGTCACAATACTACTCCTCCTCCCTGCTCCTCATGCTGCTGCTGCTGCTGCAGCTGCTGCGGCTCCTCTTTTCCTACCCCCGTTTTTGAAACCCCAAATCCCATATACCCCTTCTTGCCCCCATACATCCCATCCCTAAATATCCTTCTGTATATGGTGCGGGGTCCCCCACAATGGTACCCCAAATTTTGGGAAACCCTAATCTTTAAACTCTAAACCCTATATAACCCTATATAACTGTATATACCCATCAACCTAACCTTTGTATATCCATATCTACACATCCACATGGCTTTCCACCCTAATAGCCTGGCCGAAGCTCTCGGCGAAGAACTCTGGCTCCTCCTCAAAAAGGACTTCTATAGGGATATATGGGGGTTTCCCCAAATTAGGGATTGTTTTTTGCGGGTCCCTATAAAAAGGATTATCGTATTTTGGGGTCTATATCGGGGTCCCCCATTTAGGGAAACTATCATATAACGATGTATAGGGATATAGGGGGGGCATCTGACGGTTTGTAGGGTTTAGGGTTTCCAAAAGAATTGGGGGTCGGCCCCCAAAATTGGGATAATGCTATCTCGGGGTCTACATTTTGGAGCCCATTTTTCTTGGAAATTCCCAGCTGAACTGTCACGCGCCATGTGCAATCCTTCGAACAATGCAAAGTACAAGGAGCCATGGGATATACCCTGAAGATAGGTCTAGTGACTTTCTAGTGAGCTCCTCGATGTACAAGCCACCATTGATTTGTGTGCCTCCTCCCAAGACATTTGCCACGGCTCCCCAGGTGCCATCAGTCCACCTCTTTCCAAATGCATGCTGGCTCAAGGCTTAGGTTACTACTGTTAAGTGTCATATTCAGTAGTCGTGCATAGCGGCTGTTTTTTTGGTGTCTTGACATACGCCCACGGGTTGACAAACTTATTCTCAAATAGCTTCGTCTGCGCAACTGCTATAGGCGGTGGTGGTGATGGTGGTGGTGGTCGTCGTCGTAGTAGTAGAAGTAGTAGTGGTGGTAGTAGTACTGTAGTAGCAGTAGTAGTGCTGGTATTTCACTCTGTATTGATGCTACTCACACTTTTTAGTGTTGCTTAATACGCCTCCCCCCAAAGCCCAAAGAGGTAGTCCCCCATCCTGCAGACTGTTAGACAGGGACCCCTAACTTTCAGAAACTCGAGCCTGATCTCCTGCGCAGCCTTTGTGTTCACAACCTTACTGGTTCTCAGTAGGGAAGAAGGGAATATGATCCCTGTATGGTCCGTATCTAACACCTATATAGTACCTAGAACACCTATACAATACCTATATATGATAGTCCCTTAGCCTCTACTAACCCCCAGCAAGCAACCTGCGGCCAGGTATTGGCCCATTCAGTGTCAGGCACATCCAAGTCGGAGTAGCCTCGTTCCAGGACCAAGACGTCCTCTCCAGCATCTGCTAAAGCAGCTGCTGCTGTGCATCCCGAGGCACCTCCCCCAATCCTGAGCTGCTTTTGCGGAAGTTAAAAGAACTACTAGAATAAGGACATCCTATTCACTATAGACCCATATTAGGGTAACTTAGCTTCAGTTCCTTAACAGCAACCCAGAATCACGATCCAGTCTGCGCCTTCAGGCGTAGGGGCAGGCTGTGAGCAATGACCCTCGCAAAGAATGTGCAGAAACCCACATCCTCTCTCGCCGACCAGTGATCCACCCTGGGAGCAGTGGCTACTTTCATATAAGCTGGCTGGACAAGCCTTACACTGGCCATCCCAGTACAGCTGAGGCTGTGGTGAAGGTGTTGACTGCGGTTGGCGGCATCTCGCTTCACAATGAGCTCTGGCTGGCCCACATGCCCGCTCGTCCACAATCGTCCCTCCAAGTGCGCAGTGGCTGTCTGGATATAAACTGGCAGGACAAGCAGTGCACTGGCCATCCCAGTAAAGTGTTGGCTGAGGAGCCCCAGACAGCAAAGGTTCCGTGCAGTGTCCTTCACACCACATACGCGTGATCCCGCAAGCCCGCTCACCAACCAGAACACCTCCGCGAGAACAGTGGTTGTATAATTTAGCAGGGCAAGCTGTGCATTGACCATCCCAGTATAAGTTTCTGGGAGGCCACTCAGATGCAGCATCAGAATCAGCCTTGGAGGAAGGCTTCTGTGAGACACATGGGATACATGAACATATCGGAGACTTAGGGAGACATGAACATTCCATTGCTTACTCATGTTTCGGTGGGAATGGGGGAACTGGTGAAGGGACGACTTTCAAGATTATAATGGGGGTTATTGATTATGTAAGGACTACTATTACTATACGGATCCATCCCCACCTTCTCAACTAAGCATGGGTAAGCCTTGGGAAGACCCCTTGGCATGAAAAAGCAGCTTCCCGTCCCAGGATCATTCAGAATTCCAAGTCCAAGTGTGCCCCTGACCCAACATCACCGCATACACGACAGACAAGCAGTTGTCTGTGTGGGCATAATGCCGTGATCATCAAAGTTAGGATTTTGCCCAACTTGCGTTCAAACTTGAAAGTTGACTCATAAGAGCACCGCATGCCTTTCTCCGGCCAAGGTATCAAATACTGATAGTCTCATAGCGGGTATTGAATACTGGGGGACCCGGACACAGAGTCGCTCCAGGATGGACTGAGATGATGACCGAATATGACAGAAACCTTCATGCCACTGTATTGCACGCTTTGCAGGCGGGGAGCGCAGACCGATCCCAGGCAGAGGAACAGAGCGACAAGCTTCAATTCCATCTCCAATAACAGGTGAGTGAATTAACGTGCTCCTTGTCACAATACTAAAGCTTGAGCTGAAAAGCCCCCGGCCATGCCTAATGCATGCTGCATCATATCTGGAAGCTGTCTTGCCGACAACACGACAGATGCAACTACCTTGCTACTCTCTGTACTTCGAGTCCGCAGAAAGTTCCTATCCTGCTGGGCACCCTCGCAAACGAACTCCGAGTCTGCTTTTCGGTGCACAGTCGCTCACCCCCTTCAAGCTCTCAGGCACCACCCTCAGAGATTCGGATGCGTTTCACCGGTGTAGACTGCTCAGCAGCGTTGACAGCATCGGCCTCACCCGCGAGATCACTGCCGCTGCTACGAAACAACTGCGTCACGCGCTACCCTTCTGCTTCTCCGGTTTCTTCTCCTCTGACTGCTGTTGCTATTGCTTCTACCGCTACAACAAGAAGACCACCTCCACTGGCACCGCCACCGCCACCGCCACCGCCACCGCCATCGCCGCCACCCCCAACCACCGCCGCCGCCGCCGCCCCCACCACCACCACCGCCACCGCCACCACGACCACCACCACCACCACCACCGCCGCCGCGGCCGCCGCCGCGACCGCGACCGCGA